AAAGGGGGGGGGGGGTCAGCTGCCTGCTGACCACACGTGTGCTGGTGTCCTCAGCCGGGCAGCCTCCAGAGATGCCCTGGTCCATGTGGCAGGCCAGCTGGGGGCTTCAAAAAATAAAAACAAAACCAAAAAAACCTCGGATTTAATTGCCAGCCTCATGGCTGGCTGCCCTGGGCATCCCAGGGTGGTGGGGTGCTGGCAGGAGGGTACGTGTGGCTGTGCCGGAGCCGGGCTGACGTGGCTCCATGGAGCCAGCTGGAGCGTGGACGTAGGATGCGACCTGTGATCTCCATCTGTGCCATCACTGACAGCCGTGCAAGCAATTTCGGGTCAGGCAGAGGATCTGGGGGCAGGCAGCCGATGCATGCTGTGACCTGTGGTGCCGACCCGTCACTTGGTGGGGTGGCTGAGGACAGGCTGGGGGACTTCTTGCAGTTGCTGTGCCGGTGACTGCTGCCAAAAGCAGTGCTGTGTCGGTGACGGCGATGGCTGCCAGACTGTCCCAGCATCCTCCCCCGTTCCGGAGCCTGCCCAAAATCTTGCTGCCGGGCTTGTGCCGTGTGGGCGTTGCAGAAGCAGCATTGAGCAAGGAGAGCTGCTGGGGCAGAGACGGGAGAGAGCGGGGTACCGTGGGGCTGGAGCAGCTTAAAGACAGAAACGGCAGAGGGTGGTGATGGGGCCGGGTTTGCATGGGGTTATAAGGGACAGGGCAAACCTTTCCCCTAAAATTTTGAGGCTGTTTGCCTGGCCCAATGACCTTAAGTGCTGGGGGAAAGACAAATCTGCAGGAGATGCCTAATTTGGGTGTTTGGGGATTTTTTTTCTCCATCCAGAGCATGCTGTTGAGATCTCAGGCGCACGGTTGCTGCCTCTCCCTGACCCCCTTGTTCAGAATAACAAATCTTTTGCTCCCCTAACCAGCCGGTAATAAACTCCTTATGTTGCAGTTTAATTCCCCAGGGATGCTGGCACGGAGAGGGTTGGCATGGGGAGAGCCAGCTCTGGAGCTGCCGGTTCCCTATGCTGGGGGTGCTCACCAGGCTTTGGGACCTCCTAACATTCAGACCGGCAAGTCCACAAGGCTCCCTGGAGGCCCTCTGGGTTCCTTCTTATCGCACCCTGTGCCCAGGCGAGGAAGCTGCCATCCAACCCTGAGCTCCCTGTGAGCCAAAGAGGATTAGGAACAGCTTTGGCTGGAAATAAGGGTGTAAAAATCATGCGTACGGAACCCAGCGTGGTGCTTGGAGCACCTGTGCAAGCTCTATCCATCTCGGTTTCTCCATCAAAGGACCCCCTTGGTTGCACTGCATGCTCTCTGCCCGTGCAGGGGTCCCGGGCTCAGCTCCCAAATTACACTTTAATCTGCCCAGCTCTTGTGCTTTAGTTGTTGTTTGTCTTGGCTCCATGTCACTAACCTCCAAGTGGGGAAAACCCAGGGCTCTTGATTTCCAATCTTGCTTCCAGACCGGAGCAAAGGAGGGAAGGAGGCAAAAGAGCCGGATACTTGTGCTGCGCACAGGACAAACCCTGCACTTGGCTTCAAAGCCTGGTGCAGCCTTGACTGTGATAACTCATCCCTCTCCCCATCAGTGATGTCTTGGTGGTTGTTGCAGGCTGGGTGAGAGGAAGCTGCTGCTGAAGTTATCAGGGCCACATGAGCATGGATGTGGCTTCCTGGTCCCCTTGTCCCCACCACCACAGGGGTCCAGGTGGCTGAGCAGCACCCTGACTTCTCTCCAAGCCCACCCGCACCCAATTTTTTCACGCAGCGGCAACTGATGCTGAGCTGCCGGAGCAGGAGAAGGCTTTTATCCAGTTCCACGTCACCATGCCAGAGGGACCCTCGCTCCGCGTCCTGCTGCAGGACCCCGAGGAGAGGAGGAAGCTGGGTAAGTGCATCCATGGGGGCAAAGCCCTCCGTTCTTGTGATGAAACCTCGATGCACGGGCAGTGAGCTCCATCGTAACCCTACCTGGGTAGGCATGGTCTCTACAAAGGAATGTGATGAGCTGTTGGGGGATGTCTCTGTGCAAAGACACCTTTTTTTTTGGGGGGGGGGGATTTCTTTGAAAAGAGCCTCTCCTGGGAAGGCAGGAAAGTGTCACAGTTCCCTGTCAGGGTGTTGAGGACCAACTCACGGTGCTTGCACCAACCTGTCCAGCTGAGTTTGCCAGTAAAACCTCGAACACCGAGGTGTCCTGAGCCAGGTAACGTCACCCAACGCAGCATGGAGAAATCCGTAGGGACACAGAGATCCTGGAAGCTCCTTGGCTTGGGCTTGCTGCTGACTTGGCTTGATGACAAGAAGACACAGCAGATGCCAGGGGGTGTAGCTGCATCAAAAAGCTTGGGAGACGAGAGCTTCCTCCCATGCGGATTTTCAGCTTCAGGGGAAAAACAAAGCGTTGCTTATTCAGCTGAAGTTGTGTTTTGGCAGCCCCTCCCCAACAAGGCTGCAACAAGAGCAAGCTCAGCGCCCCGATTTTGGGGTGTCGTCTCCGGTTTGCCTCCCCCACGAGCTGCCTCCTGGTGCTCTTTCCCCTCGTGGCGCACGTATGGAAGGAGACAGGTCCCACCAGGAATGAGTTCGTCACGTCGCCAGCCTCAGCAAAGTCCTACCGGCTGCTCGGCCAGATTTCGCTGCTGGGGATGGAGGTGGAGGACGTGCATGAGGAGACTTCTTAAATCACCCCCAAAACCAGAGCGTTACGGTAACACCACCCCGACACCCTCAGCTTGCTGCCATCTGGTTTCCCGATTTGCATCAACCCACCTTCCTGGGGGGAAGGGGCTCCGTTCAAAGTCTGCTGGTGAAAAATGAACGTGCAGATGCCAGCCTCAGCTCTGGTTTTGGTTTACAGGAAGGGGAGAAACTTGCAGCATTAAAACCATCTCCCTGAAAGGATTTTTTTTTTTTCCCTTTCCCTTGTCTTCTAGTATTATAACATAATGTTTTATCAAAAATGGTATATTCCACCATCTTCAATAGAGTGGTGCCAAAAGCTTGCACAGCTTCCATGCTCGACCTCTATTTCCAGTGATGTCTTGAAAATAGGGGTTGATGATATTCAGTAAAACATAGTTGCTTTCTTGCCCATGGATGGGGCTGGCTGCGGGTGCTTTGATAAAATATGATTGATTGCATTTGATACAATTATTTTGGAGAGTCTCTTCCTTTCTGGTTTCCATCCAGCCTCAATAGATTTCCTCGATTGCGACTTTTCGGGGAGGGGAAAGCAGAGGTCTTCAGGCCGCTGGCTGTGGTCCTCATAAGTCTGGAGCAAACTCCAACCAACTCTCTGGGTTATGTTGCCACCGTGTGTCCTAAAACTGGAAATGCTACAGGCACACGTGTTTCTATGATACGTGTGTGTGTATATATATATCTCTACCTTTTTCGGTAGTTTAGCGTTGGATGCGGGTATCTCGGTTGCAGTCTCTTGCAAAGGAGATGTTTGCGTTGATACCCATGGGTCGTCGTGATTTCATCTCTTCTGGCCATTTTTCGGCCACTCCGTTTTCACGAGGGTGGAAGCACGTTGAAGGCAAGTTGAGAGGAGCAAAGCAGGAGCAGATGCCGAAGAGGGTGGAAAGCAGGACCTGCCGGGCAGGGAGAAGGCTTTGCTTAGCCTAGAAAAGAGGGAGATGTGTTCCATCTTCCCGAAGCTAAAAGGCTGTCACCAGGAGGATGGGGCTCGATTGTCCTCCGTGTCCCCCCCCACCCCGGGGGATGCAAGGCGATGGAGAGAAGTTAATTTGCGGAGGAGATTGAGGTTAAGTGTTAGGAGGGACTTCGGGGGCGGCGCAACGTGGTGGCGGCTCCTTCGCCGGTGGTTTTTGGGAACATCTGCCAGCTCTGCTGTCGGCGCCGGGGGAGTGAAGTAGGTCACCCTTCAAGGTCCCTTCCGAGCCCTACATCGGGGGCTCGAGCTGACGGCTGGGACCTACTCCATTTAGCGCACGTTGAACGCCTGGCAGGCTGCGAACGTGACTGGGCTGTCCCTGAGTCACGCCGGGTGACACAGCCGCGGAGGCTGCTGTCATCTGTGGGCAGCTGAGCGAGCGGAGAGGGAACGGCGGTGGCGGCGGGGCTGCTCCGCTCCGCTCGGGCTGCGATCTCTCTGCTCCCTTGCAGGCAAAGCTCATCTGAAGAAAGCCATCATGAAGCACGAGGAAGCCATGAGGATCCACGGCTTGTGTAAGATCCTGCGGAAGATGGATATCCTCCAGGAGGTCCTCTCCTTCGCCCACAAACGCTCGCTGAGCAAATATTCGGAAATCGACCACGAGGAGGACTTCTTCGAAACTGGAGATGCCCCGGACATTCACCGTAAGTGTTTTTTTGGGGGGTGCAGCTGGGGAGGGGATTTATGGCAGGTTACATGGGGTGGGCAAACTCCACGGTGAGTTTGTGGCATGTCGCTGTGGACCAGAGCTCCCTGCACGGCGGTGGAGCATCACGGGTGGGAGTGGGGGCTCCAGGCTGCGTGTCTGGCAGCTGCCTGAGCAGGTCCCAGCTCTTATGGGTCACACCATCCCTTCTCGGGGAGCACAATGTAGAGGCAGCAGCTGCCACAGCTACCTGACCCCGGCGTATTTGCTCTTCTCTCCCTACCACTAGCCAAAACGCACCAGAAACCAGAGATAAAATCCCCCAACTTCTCCCAGGTGAAGGTCACCGACCTCTTCCACAGGCTGGTACGTACGGCTACGGGATGGAGGTTGCCCCGAGGGAGCAGACATCTCCTCCTCCTCCCCTGCATGCTCTGCTTGCCTGGTTTCCTTCTCCCCGCAGCCCCTTCTCCCTCTCCCGGTGCAGCCGCTGCGCCCACGGGCGGCTTTCCAAGGAGGACGAGCCGCCTCCTCGCAGGCAGGGACCCGTGCAGGGAGGAGGGGCGGGGGGGCACAGATCTGTCTCTGCCAGACCTAAATGGGTCGCAAAGCTCCTCCGGTGCATGGGGGAGCGGGCACAGGCATTTTGGGTGGGCTTTACCCGAGAAGGACTGAAGGGACCCTTTAGAGGAAGCTTTTGGGGGGAGCAGAGCAGGATGGTGCCAGGTGGGAGGCACCAGGAAAATCCCATCGGACCTTTATCCCTACCTTCTTTAGGCTTACAGGGTCCCGGGGAGCAGGACTGAGCTTCGGGGCTGCTGTGGGACCTGGCTGTGTTGTCCCTGTCCCCCAGACGCCCCAAGGGCTGCGTGGCACCCCAGGGAGAGGCTGGACTTCTCTGCTTTTGGACAGCCCCAGGGCAGGCAGGTATATCCTGCTCCTGTGGGAATAGAAAAGTAGGAAAAAGGCAGGAAAAGAGGAAAGATTTGGGGGGGGGGAATCTGACCCTGAAGAGGTGACCTGTCCCACCGCCTCGCACCCTGCTGCTGGACCACCCCAGCCAGGCTGCCTCCCCCAGAGGCAGGCAGCGGTGAAAAACCTCAACCCCCATCGTCCCTCCTTGGTTGATGGTTGTTTTTTTTTGTCCTGAAGGGGGGAATTAAGGAGCCAGCTCTGCCCACCAGAGCTTTCTGTTTCATTTGCTTTGGGATTATAGCATCTAAACTGATGCCAGCTCGCTGACTGTGCCGAGACCTCCTCCTCCTCCTCCTGCCTCGCAGGAGCGGGGCAGTGCCGGCAGGATGTCCAGACCTAGGCTCTGGACAGAGGGTTGGACCAGAGACCTCCCGAGGTCCTTCCCAACCCACACGAGACTGCTGCTGCTGCTCAGAAAGCCAACATCTGACATGGGTTTTAAGCACCTCTAGCTTTATAGTGCATAAATCTGCATTTTTGGGCATGCAGGCAGGGTAAATCACTGGGTAGGCTCAAAATCACATCCTTAAAGAAATGCAAAAGACTGCTTTCTTGCTCTGCCTCATCCCCATCAGCGGGTGTTTTGCAAGGTTGCACATCCCCAGGGAGTTGTTCTTGCTCTGAAAGGCACTTTCCGTGTCTCTACCTTTACCCCAGGGGCCCCTTTCAGTTTTCTCGGCCAAAAACAAGTGGTACCCAGCGCGGAGAGTCCACCTGATGAGAGGAGAGAACGGTTTTGGGTTCACGCTGCGAGGAGACTCCCCCGTCCTCATTGCTGGTGTCATCCCGGGGGGCTGCGCTGCCGTGAGTACCCCAGGTTCTTGCTGTCCCCGTGGGGATGCTGGAAGTGAGGTGTCAGGGGTTGCCTCGAGGGGTGCCAGGTGGTTTTAGATCTGAACGCTCAGTTGGTAACTGCATTGGTGTGCTCAGGTGGAGATTCATCTCTGCCGGGGCTTGCAGATGGGTGTCAGGAAAGAATTGATTTTTTTGTTTGTTTTAGGAGACAGCTAAGGAAAAAATATGGAGGTTAGCTCCATTTTTAACTGCTGGCAGCCTCTCTTTGGCAAGCACCCAGCTCCCTTCTCCCCCATTTTGGGACGTGACAGTGGATGGAACAAGATGGCAAGTCTGAAACGCGAGTTATCTCAGTGAAAACTCACTGTTTGGGCTTTCTGATGTATCAGGGGCAACTTTGTTTTCCAGTAGAAGCTTGCTGGAGCATCCTTGTGGGACACCCTAAAGGTTTCCCTCCTCCCTCAGCACTGTTCAGCATCAACCCTGCCATCCAGAGCCCAGCATCTCTGTAACAACACGCTCCTTAGCAGCAGGATCGCATCCCTTTTTGGGAGACTAAAATCTTCTCAAAGACCATATATGGTCCATATCTGGACCACAGTTGTGCCCCCTGGGCTGCTAACATTCCTTGCACTCAGCTGGGGTGAGGTTGGTCTCCAGATAGACACCAGAATGCGGGTGTCCCTGTGTGGACAAGTTTTTAAACCTCCATTGCAGCTGGTCTGGCATGTCCTGGCTGGGTTGCTCCTAGCTATGATGCTGTCCCCACGGCCCCGAGCTGGCACGTGCTTTCCTTCAAGCATGTCAAGAGCCTTGCTGATGCCTTGATGGATGAAGGGTGTGCAAAGAACCTTGCTGAGCCTGCTGTTTTCTCAAGGATCAAGGCTTGCAGGCAATATTTTTTTTTTATTTATTTATTTTTTTTCTGGAGACCTGCAGCGTTTAACCGTTATCGAAGAGTCAGAGCTGGATGCACTTTTTGCAAGGCTGCAAAAAGTCACGGGGCTGGGAGTTTATAGCATGCTGGATGTCAAGCGTGGCCATCGCCAGCAGCTGCAAAAGAGGTCCTTAGTCTGTAGAGCATCCCACTTTTGCATGCACGCTGCAAAAGCAGACGTAAAATCTTTAGGATGATGAAGGCATCGGCTGTCTTGTGCTGCAGGGAGGGGGGAGACCCCAACCATCCCTGTGGCCCGTGCCTCCACAGGACTGGGACCTGTGGGGTGGAAACCAAGCAGACTTTGTGCAGCAGCATTCATGAGCTCAAACGCGTGCGTCTTCTTTCTTCCCCCGCAGGAAGCCGGACTGAAGGAGGGAGACTACATCATCTCGGTGAACGGCAAGGACTGCAAGTGGTCCAAGCATGCCGAGGTGGTGCAGCTGCTGAAGAGCACTGGGGAGGAGGGAGTGGAGATCACTGTGATAACCCTGCAGGGCTCAGAGGGACCAAAAGCTTTAGGATCATGAAGGCATCGGCTGTCTTGTGCTGCAGGTGGAGGGTGGACCCCAACCATCCCTGTGGCCCGTGCCTCCACAGGACTGGGACCTGTGGGGTGGAAACCAAGCAGACTTTGTGCAGCAGCATTCATGAGCTCAAACGCGTGCGTCTTCTTTCTTCCCCCGCAGGAAGCCGGACTGAAGGAGGGAGACTACATCATCTCGGTGAACGGCAAGGACTGCAAGTGGTCCAAGCATGCCGAGGTGGTGCAGCTGCTGAAGAGCACTGGGGAGGAGGGAGTGGAGATCACTGTGATAACCCTGCAGGGCTCAGAGGGACCAAAAGCCGTAAGTCACGTCCCAAGCCTTAGGTGGGAAACTGCAGGTCTTGGGGGGAAGAGACCGGCTGTGGTCTGCTTAAACGAGGCTCTGCGCTGTCTCTAGCGTGGCGGCTTTGTTTGCAGCTGGCTTAACAAATGTGAAGCAGGATTTCTAGGGACGGAAAGCTTTGCTCTTTCACCGTTAGCCTCGAGCCAGGCACCGAAGCAGGTGGCTCCACGGGGGGCAGAGGTTCCCCAGTGTCCTGCTCCTGGGATGGAGGTGCAGGGCTGAAGCCAGGCACTGCATTTGCAGCCCGGGTGCTGCCCTGGCTTCACGCCCCTCTCTGCTCCCCTTCCCAAACAGGCAGATAAGAAGGCGGCAGCGATGTCCTCGGGCAGCGGGATGCTGAAGAGCAACAAGGAGAACAGCCGAAAGAGCCTGATGAACAGCAAGAGCGCCAGCACGCTGCTGGTCTGGAGCAAGAAGAGCAAGCGGAGCAAGAAGAGCACCTACGGCGTCCCCTTCACTGCGGTGGGAGACAACGAAGCCATGTACTGAAGCGGCCACCGGGCTAGGTCGTGTCCCGTGAGCTCCGGGGCTGGCTGCCCGTGAACCCTCGCAAGCACCGGTGGCCTGTCTGGGCTGCGCTGGTGTCGGTGCTGCAAGGACCCCCCCGCCCTGGGGACGTGCCGCTGGTCGGATCCTCTCCGAAGAGGCGAGCGATGCACAGCACCGGACTCCTCCATCTCCCAGCTCCTGCGTTAAACGATCCTCAGCTAAACAATATGGGGAAACACTGTTTTATTCTTTATTTTTAATTTTCTTTTTTTTTTTTCCTCTTAAGGGGTCGGGGGGAGCTGTGCTTCGGTATAAAGCAGGGACTGGTTTGTGTCTTCTGCTCAATGCGAGGAGCAGCCAAACCAAGCCCCAGCCATTAAAGCAAAAGCTGTAACCTTCTTTAGCGTCTCCTAGGCTTTCTCTGCAAGGTAGAAGACGGCACCGCTGCTGCCGCTCGCCGAGAGCTGCCAGCGGAGCCGAATTGTTCAGCAGCTCCAGCTGGAGGTCACCTTCAACTACCCTTTTTCGGGAGAAGGGGATAGTGTGGGCATCGGTGACTCGTGGTGACCCCATCATGGGGTCCGGCGCAGACCTGCCCGGGCAGCACTGGGCTGTGCATCTCTGCCGCGGTACCAGTTAGGGATGTCCCAGTGAAACAGGTTGAAGTTAGGATGGGTTTGACCATTTTTTTTTTTTTTTTTTTAGTGCTTTTTGGGGTTTTTTTTAATGGACACCTAGGTTGGCCCAGCAAATACAGCCCAGCTGCACAGCCTGCTTCTTTGGAAGAAAAGGGAAAGACTTAACGTGCATTTGTTGTCTCACTCTTTTTTTAATCAGTAGAGGTGGATTGCCCTAAATATGTGAGTAGATTAATAGCTAAGAGCCTTGTTTTTTTTCTTGGTATGAGATTAAAATTCGAGGAAGATAGCTCCTCCAGATTATTAAACTACTAAATTTGTGCTAGTATTGGATCTTGCACACGTTGCTAATACCCTAACACTGTGCTGTCAGCATTCGTACCCGAGCTGGGCTGATGGATACATACATCTTGGTAATTGTACTGGAAATGCTGGGAGACTCCGAATACACGCTTAGATATATTGGCAAAATTTTCTCAATCCCATTTCTGCCTTGTGCATTATTTTTCTGAAGGCTAAAGAGCTGTCTGGTCTTCAGTGCTTGGATGATCTTGGTAGGTATAAAATACCCTTCAGAGATGCAATTGTATTTTTGTACTTTTTAAGTCGTGACAAATTTGTAGCGGTAGTTTAATGAAGTGAACGCGCGCTGGCAGCAGGATACCGTCGCGAGAGCATCTCTCTGGGGTTGTACCGTGACTTCTTCTAGGTGGCTCAATGCCCACGTGCCAAGCTTTTGGCCCCAGTTTTATTTAAGGAGAACTAAAGGAGGGGTTCTAGCTCTGCGTTATTGACCGAGAGGCCTCTCTGTAGACTGAGACATCATCAGACGGGATTACAGATCTGGCTGCCACCACGAGGCCATCTGGTGCAGTCAAGCTTTTCTACGTAAGCTTGCCAGCTGCTTGGCGCGGGAGTGGTAAGGAAGGGGGCAGGTTCACAGAAAAGGCCACCTTGCTGTTAAAGCATCCCGGCAGCATCTTCCCCCGATCCTAAATGTGTTGCCGACACGGACACCTCCAAGTTGGAGATGTATTTAAGAAGCATGCACAAGCGGCGAGCCCGCGCATCGCGTTTCCACCCGCACCACTCAACTCCTCCGTTGGCGTTGGTGGAGGTGTTGTGTTTTGTGCGAGTTGGATAATTTCCCTAACACCGGTGGTTTGGTTTTGTTTTTGTTTTTAATTTGTACATGGACTCTCACCTTTTATGGATTAAAAAGCACTGATTCGAGAACACTTCGTTGCGCTCATCTCTGTTGCAAATCACAGGTGGACTGGGTGCACCCAGCGCGAGGGGAACAAAGCCCCGGGTCAGGCTTGCAAATGGGTTGTTTTGGGATTGTTTTTACATAAATCTGGAGCTGTTGAGGTCGGGAGAGATCATTTGGCTCTGGTATCATAGAATCATAGAATCACTGAGGTTGGAAAAGACCTCTAAGATCATCGAGTCCAACCGTCGACCCAACACCACCATGTCCACTAAACCATGTCCCTAAGTGCCTCATCTACACGTCTTTTAAATACGTCCAGGGATGGTGACTCAACCACTTCCCTGGGCAGCCTGTTCCAATGTTTAACCACTCTGTCAGTAAAGACATTTTTCCTCTTGTCCAATCTAAACCTCCCCTGGCACAACTTGAGGCCGTTTCCTCTCGTCCTATCGCTAGTTACTTGGGAGAAGAGACCAACACCCACCTCGCTACAACCTCCTTTCAGGGAGTTGTAGAGAGCGATGAGGTCTCCCCTCAGCCTCCTTTTCTCCAGGCTGAACAACCCCAGCTCCCTCAGCCGCTCCTCATCAGACTTGTTCTCCAGACCCCTCACCAGCCTCGTTGCCCTTCTCTGGACACGCTCCAGCACCTCAACGTCCTTCTTGTAGTGAGGGGCCCAAAACTGAACACAGTATTCGAGGTGCGGCCTCACCAGTGCCGAGTACAGGGGCACGATCACTGCCCTACTCCTGCTGGCCACACTATTGCTGATGCAGGCCAGGATGCCATTGGCCTTCTTGGCCGCCTGGGCACACTGCCGGCTCATGTTCAGCCGGCTGTCGACCAGCACCCCCAGGTCCTTTTCCGCTAGGTATGACCTAATCCAAGGCAAACTGTGCTCCTAAGCATCCAGATCAGCCCAACAGCCCATGGTGAGACATCATCTCCATCTCCAGCGTGGTGTAATGGGAGCCAGTGGCTTTGGCGCATGAGTTATTTCATGGAAGTAATGCGGGAGGTGAGGATCGGAGCTCAGGCTGGATCCCATGGGGGCTTTTCTCCTGGAAAAGACCCGAAACCTTTCAAGAAAGTCATCTTTGCTTCACACAGCATGTTTTGATCTGTTGTTTTTGGGTTTCCAAAAAAGGGTTTCCAAGGGGGTTTTCCAACAAGGGTTTCTAGACCCCTTGTTTTTGGAAGGTATCACTCGTGCTGGAGGAGCTCATTAGTAGCTGGTAAACAGCAAAGCCTTGACACGGGACAGCCCCCCACCCCATTTTCCCTTGGGGGTCTCTCTTTCACTGGACCCCACCTCCCCGCCATCCAGACAAGTCCCTCGCTCAGGGATTGTGCACCCCACAGGAGGTTAAAGGACAGAGTACCTCCTCTTCAGAGACACAGGGGCGGGTTTAAACCCCCTTAGATGGGAATGAACCAGGGTCAGTGCTTTCAACTTTGGGTTAATACATAAAAGGGTGGCGGGGAGCCTCTTTTTCTCCTGTCTACCAAGCCAGGGTTAAAACGGCGTCTGACTTTCTTTTGACATATTTTTGTAATTTAAGGTGTTTCCCGTTTCATCAGACCTCCTGTACCCAACACCAACCTCCAAGCCCTACCAAGTGTTTTAAGCCACCCACTAGAAGTTCTGCTGCAGTAGATCCCTTTCCCACCTACGTTCAGTGGATGTGGGAAACTTGTGACTCCATAGCGGGGATCACCTCCCCCTCCGATGGCATGTTTTTAGATGAGATGTGTGCTCCATCAGCAAGAGCCCGGTGCTCCCTCCCTCTTTGCTGGGAGGCTATGGAGCTGGATCTCTCCATGCTTGTCTTCTCCATCTGGACCTGGAGGTGCAGGGGTCCTGTAGGATGCTGGTGGTGGGGGCCAACATGGGTAGAAAGCACAGGAGCCATTGCAAAAACAGCTTTACAGTAACCAAGAACTTGAGGTGTCTCCAACCTCTGTCCCTGTGGAGAGGAGCTCCGGGTGGGCTCGGGAGCTGAGATTGTGCATAGTGCTCCTTGGTCCAGGTGTCCTGGGCTGGGACTACTTAATGCAACTCTTGGGAGCATCTTATGACCAGAGAGGAGGTGCAAAGAGGGTTTCTTTTAATCCCTTGCTGATTTTCAGGGCCCTTGAGACAGAAAATGGTGGTGCCTGCCATCCTGGAAATCCCATCAGGGAGAACCCAGCAAACCCACAGGGGGGGGTTCCTGCCTTTGAGGTTGAATTTTCCTCCTCCCAGAGCTTCATGCTCAATAATAAAAATCTCCCAGCCTGTATATCAGCCCTTCCAGCATGGTGGGAAGGTGTTTTGATTTTCCCCTCCGTTAGGTACACAACGGCTCTCTTAATAGAAGAGAAGGTACCTGCAGTGTTGGGAGCCGCGGCCGTGCTCCTGCCTCCTCGCTTCGTGGCTCGTTGGCACCGTAACCCATAATGGCTCCTCTGGAGCTGTTGCTGGCTACAAATTAATGCTTCTGCCTGTCCCTGGGGACAACGGAAGGAAAGCAGCTACTTGGGCTGATGGCCTCCAGCCACGGCGTGGTTTGGTGCTGGGATACTGCAGCCGTGCAAGGTGCTCTCACTGCTTGCTACACTGAATTTGCAATTTGTTAGGGGGATCGGGCCCTTCAGCAGCACCTGGTGCTGCTTTCAAACAATCCTGGGCCAGGAGCAGATCAGTGGGGTCGTCTCGGGAGAAGGACGGGGCAGAGCAAGCTTTCTCCTGCTCCCAGGAAAGGGAGTGATGCTGTGCCTGCTTGGTCCCTTGTCCAGTGCTCACTCTGTCCCATGGAAGGTGTCACCCTCAGCCCCACGTCCCACCTTGCCCCTCCCGAGCACCCATGTGCTCGGTGCGGAGCGAGGTGCCCACAGCCATCCTCCTTTCCAGCCTGAGCCCACTGGAGGGCAGCAGCACCCTGTCCGATGCACCCGCTCCTAGCAGCACCCTGCGTCTGCCCAGCGAGGCTGGCACCCCTCAGCTCACGCTGCTACCCAAGGGTGAGTAGAGGTGTCCCTGGGGTGCTTTGGAGACCAGTGCATTGCAAAGCATGGCATAAAAAGCTGTTTTAAACTACATATCCTGCGAGGTCCTTATGGGGGAAGCGTGCAAGAAATAAAGCCAAGCATTGCGGTGCGGCATCCTCTGGGATAAAGCAACCTGAGCTCGCAGCAAGCTCCATCCAACCCATAAAGGAAGGGGTGAAATTTTGTGGGGAGCACTGGGAGCACCCATCCTGCTCCTGCAAGCTGGCCCTTGGGCCCCACTGGGGGGACCAGGCAAGCCCAGGCTTGCTCCCCTGGGCTGAGCCTAAAAGCTTTGCCAAGGTGCTCATTGAGATTTGCAAGGTCCTCTTGGCCCTGGCTCCCCAGGAGCTTGGAGATGCTAAAGCCCGCCTGCATGGCCTTGCATTGCAGCTAGCAGCGCTGGGAGGCTCATCAGACATGAGGCCACAAGAGAGGGGCTGTGCCAGAGGGGTGTGAAGCCACCAGGACAGCAGAGCCCAGTGGGTCAAGGCGGGGCTTCAGGTCAAGGCACTGGGGGCTGCAGCGGAGAGACCAGCAGGTTCAGGAGCTGGTGGGGATGTGAGCTGGCAGCATCGCACTAGAGGGCAGAGTCGGTACACGCTGAATCCGGCTCCCCACAGCCTGGCCACCCCTTCACCACCCCGGCACAGGGTGGGATGGTGTTGGAGTCCCGAATTGTCACATACCCCCACGTATGTAGCTCCATGCACATGACTCTGTGCAAACTGATCTACATGCTCGCATCCAAGTCAGCTCTTGCTCTAGCAATTGCCTCGACGCTGCCCGACTGCAAGTCTTCTTGCATCTGTCCAGTGGGCAAAGTGCTGCTGGGAGAGGAGGGAAGGCGAGCTGCCACGAGCAGGGACCTGCCAGGCACCTGCCTGTCCCCAGGGCCCGTCATCCTCAGCTGCTTCCTACCAGGGACAAAAGCGGTGGCTGGGGATAATCCCCCATCCCTTTGTGGTCCCTGGGGAGTGCTCAGCCACCTTCCCGTGCATGGGAGCAAACGTCTCCCGTGTGGGAGTGGGTTAGAACTGGCCCAGGGTGGACCTGGTTTGGCAGCGGGGCAGGGGTGGAAACGGAATCTCCTTTGATCCCTTGTGCCCTATTTTCTGTGGGACACGAGTGTTTCTGAAGGGTCTGTGCTCTGTAGTCCAAAGGAGGATGGCGGAGGATGCTGATCCTCTACTGGATTCATCCGCGGAACTTGTCCTGAGGCGTTATGGGTCACCTTTTCTAAGCTAGTAGCTTTCGCACAGCCCCCCTTCCTTATTTTAATCTGCAAAATTTTTACCCTAGACAGAGTACAAAGCTGCCCCTCTTCAGGGTTTGCATCACCGTATGAGGAGCTGCCTCTGACCGTCTCTTTGCAATAGCAGTAGCAAGAGATGGGCAAGTTTCCACTGCGGCACAAACTCCACTGGCATAGGAGACTGAGGCCAGACCAGGGATGTAGGACTTTTGCAGGCTGCAGGATGCACTGAGAGGCCAGTCTGGGTCTACACGAAGCAATGAGGTCAAGACGGCCATGCTATGGGGCAAGGAGCTCATGCTGTGATGAAGGAAGGTCATGCTATGGAGCAAGGTGGACATGCTGCGGGGCAAGGAGGTCAAGTTGTGATGAAGGAGGGTCATGCTGTGGAGCAAGAGAATCATGCTAGGAGGCAAGCGTGTCACGCTATGGAGCAACGGGACCATGCTGTTGGGCAAGGACATCATGCTACAGCACAAGGGGGTCGTGCTGTTGAGCAAGAGGGTCATGCTGTGGGTCAAGGCTGTTGCGCTATGGAGCGAGAAGGTCGTGCTTTGGAGCAAGGTAGACATGCTACAGGGCAAGAGGGCCATGCTATGGGGCAATGGGGGTCATGCTGTGGAAGAAGGGGGTCATGCTGTGGGGAAAGGGGGTTTTCAGGGTCCTGGTACTCCGTGGGGATCCCTCATGGCTCAGAGCAAGCCCAGCTGCTGTGACCTCGCTCTGCATGGCTGGATG